AGTATATTCTGTACACGGACTACAAGGTGTTCCATGACTTGACAAGGGAGGATCCTGACATTTACTCGCCTCTCCTCTCCCCTTGCCTATTCACAGAACCTCTTGTATTCTGTAAAAGAGTACAAGGCTTATTGTAAATGGATGAGGGGGTGGGGTGAATAGACAAGATCCTTTACAGTAAGAGTCTAGACAATGGGAGATCCTGACATTTACTCGCCTCTCCTCTCCCCTTGCCTATTCACAGAACCTCTTGTATTCTGTAAAAGAGTACAAGGCTTATAGTAAATGGATGAGGGGGTGGGGTGAATAGACGGGATCCTTTACAGTAAAGGTGCCCATACACCTTGCGATTATCAGACGATTTTCGTATGCATCGACCTTTCAGCCGATAATCGTATGTGTGCATTGCAGTGTCCGACCGACAGTACTGTGCAATCGTACGACTTTTGACGGTCAGGCATGTTTGAAAACTTTGATAGATCGTACCATTTTTGCAAGGTTGCTGGCGTTTCCGTCCGTCAAAAGTCGTACGATCTACACTGCACCTGCGCTGGCGAAGGAGGATTGAGTATAACATTATTTTTCTCACTTGACCAAAATGAGCAGTTAACCCTTGCAGTGCCAGGGTATCCCTACTGCAAGGGTTCTTTGTTCCCTGGAGTACTGCTTTAAAATCCAAGTATCGGTTCAAATTAGGGATGCACCGATACTAGTATCGGTGCCGATGCCAAGTATTTGGGCTGGTGCTCGCACAAATGTTCCGATGCCTAGCCCGATACTTCCTGTATCAGGAAACCGGGCAGTGCATCATTACAGGCTGCCCAGCTTCCTGATTGGCCGGAATGCCGATCACTTGTGACGAGAGAGCATGGAGCTGGCTTCCAGGCCAATCAGGAAGCCGGGCGCAGTGTAATGACGCTGCGCTTCAGCTTCCTGATTGGCCGGGAAGCCGGTTTCATGCTCCCTCTCATGAGGTGACCAGGGAGCATGGAGCCGGCTTTCTGGCAAATCAGGAAGCCGGGCAGCCTGTAATGATGCACTGCTCCATACTTTCATGGGGACGGCTTCCCTCATAATCGGGAAGCCTGGTGGTGAGTCTTTATATGCCGCCCGGCTAATCAGGAAGCCAGGTGGCGAGTCATTACACGCCACCTGGCTTCCTGAATGGGACATCCAGTACTTGGTATGGGCGAGTACCAAAAAAAAATATCAATGCTCGTACTCAACACCAAAATACCGGTATCGGTGCATCCCTAGTTCACATAAAACACGCATCCAGAGAACATGGATAGTCCTGTAGCATCTGAATCATAAACATGGAATACAGGAAAGCGGACAAAATTATTTCTTTCATTTAAAAATCTGGTTTAGAACAATAATTAGTTGCTATAGCCAACATGGCCGCTTCCATAAAAATTAGTCACATGATATGTTGCTGAACATAGACACTATGAGGTGTCTCCTTGTACCTTTAAATCCACCCAATGCCGTTTCTGTGCACCTCGGGAGCCTCCAAAACCTGAGTAGAGATTTATAGGAATTCATACTTTTGTTCTAGTTTGGAGCCACACAAAGAGCGCCATTGTATGAATCCAATACAGGTGCCTTGTGGCCAATGAAGGTTTGACATATGCCATGTGACAGGATGGCTATAACTCCGGTAACATTGATTGATTAAGTCATTCCTGTTGGTAACTGGTATCTGAAGTCCTCTGGGGACTGGCACGCTTCTTCTCTATATCTGACTTGGCATCATGCTGTACGTTTCTAAAAACAAAATTCTTTCTGTAATTGAAACATACAACATTTTAAAGAAAAAACTATTTTTGTTAAAGTGACCACTTCCTTTGTCTGTGCAAGGCAATGTAAAAGGGCCATTCAACTCCTCCACAGCAGTATATACACCTATCCTGTATTCCCCTGCTACTCTGCCCATCCACTGAAATACTTTGCACTTCTGGGTATGGAGGAACATGTGACAGTACTAGTTCCCCATGATTGGCCCACTGTTGTCACATGGTGGTGAAGATACAGTCCGTAGCCCCCAAGTTCTACCAAGCTGGTTTAAAGCTTAAATGGTTATTAAACCCTCTGGTGTTTTTGCATATATCTATTCCTAGCAAGCAGTAGATATGCAAAAAGTGTAAAACAAAAAAACGCTTTAAAAGCAGTTTAAACTTACCTGTGTCTTCCCCGCGCGCTCCCGTTTGAAAATGTTACAATTCTCGGGCGGCCGCAAAGCATCTTGGGGCGGGCGCAATGCGCAGTTCACATTTTCGACCGGGAGACGAGGAGGGACACAAGGTAAGTCTATGGACGCGTGCGCCCGCATGCAGACACTGTGGGACAGGAAGCACCAGCAAGGACAGGAGTCGGCGCTGGATCGGAGAGCCGCAGCACCGCTGGAGGGACAGATGAAAACAGGAAAGAAGAAGATCGGATTAAGAAACATCATTTAAGGTAAGTGCTGACATTAACATTGGGGGGGAGGGGAAAAAATCTTTGACTTTAAAATGGAGCTTTCTTTTTTTTCCCCGATCCCAAAAGCCAGGAAAGGTGAATATGTATTTCTGGGGAGATTTAATGAACCCCCCACACTCTGGTTGCAGCTTAGCCGATAAAACACTTACCTTCCTCCCCACTCTGGCAATCTTCACTGGGCGTCCCCGCTTAGCACCACACGGCCTTTGCAAAGAAAACATCCCAGCAGGGTACTCTTCCTAATGCACACACGTGGTGCGAGACCATTCATTCCTATGGATGAGCTATACTCCCAGCATGCCGTAGACATCCAGTGGAGCGTGGCTTATTCATAGGAATGACTAGGGCCTCAGCATGCGGGTGCATGGGGGGAAGATGACCTGGCTAGGATGTTTTCTTTGCAAAAGCTGTGGGGCGCCAGGCAGGGCGCACAGTGAAGATCACTGGAGGGTAGAGGAAAAGATAAGATTCTTTTTCTCAGGTGGGCTCCACTAAGGATGGTGGGACTAAATTGAACAACTGTACTAATAGTATAGTACACTTGTATTATAAATGGCAACTGTACTAATAGTGCAGTTGTCATCTAAGCATCCCTTTTACCGCCGTGCTCGGTCAAAGCAAAGTGTTCCTTTAGGAAATTAAAAGAAACATCACGCTCCCGCAATGGATTACAATCTTATCTCAGCATATAGCGGGCAATAGCCTGCTATATGCTGAGTTTTGGGTCACAGGAAGAGAACTATGGCCAAAAAAAGTTAGGCCACAGTTCTCATTTGAGGTACTTAAATGCGTTGGTGTTACTTTAAGTGTACCTGTAAAAAATAATTGTATTGTTAACCTTTACCTACCTTGGGGTGTATCTGGTCCTCGGGAGTGGCTGCGATGAGGGAATCTGATCTCCTGACATTTGGCAATGACTTCATAGAGTCTGATATTTGTTTCTTTGGTTTTGGCAAGATGTTATCTAACAATTCTGCGAATATAAAACATGAGGGATCAAATATGTGTTGCCGATAGCAGCCAATCTAATACACATTTTACGTCGTTACGCTTAGTAGAAGAGTGGTATTCAAGGTCTCATTGTGAAACACTGAAGCCAATGACTGCGGCTTTTACTGCCTAATAACTGGACCTTCTTTATCAAAGCGTCAGGAAGAAATTATATTATGCAATGTGGACTCTCTTTCCCCAGCCTGTAAACATACTAATCTGCATCACCCGTAACCATAACTCCACTAGTTAGGCCTCCACACAGGGGTGTCCCTAGCCTTTTCACCCCTGAAACACCGGAGGGGGGGGGGGGCTGGAAAGGGGGCTGCTGGAGCGATGGGGGCATGGGGTTTGGACTCTGCATCATCTCCCTGCCAGCTTACATGGTTACATAGTGGTAGATGAGTCCCCATAGACTTCTATGGCACTCATCTACCTCCATCTCCTGGCCAGGAGATGAGCCCCATAGACGTCTATAGAACTCATCTACCTCCATCTCCTGGCCAGGAGATGAGCCCCATAGACTTCTATGGAACTCATCTACCTCCATCTCCTGGCAAGGAGATGAGCCCCATAGACTTCTATGGAACTCATCTACCTCCATCTCCTGGCCAGAAGATGAGCCCCATAGACTTCCATGGAACTCATCTACCTCCATCTCCTGGCCAGGAGATGAGCCCCATAGACTTCTATGGCACTCATCTACCTCCATCTCCTGGCCAGTAGATGAGCCCCATAGACTTCTATGGATCTCATCTACCTCCATCTCCAGGCCAGGAGATGAGCCCCATAGACTTCTATGGGACTTGACTGCACATGGGTTGTCAGGTGGCTGTTGGCATAGGATCTGGGTAAGCATGCATCTGTGGAGGCAGAAAGTGGTATCTATTAGGTTAGGGGAGAGGGGCAAAAAGTCTAAGTGCACTTTGTCTGAAAGTGCATGCATTTTCTATTGCGAACCTGTGCTTTGCCCAAGCATGACAACGCAGCAGATTCACTTTAATGGCAGCCCCACCAGCAGTGCATTCTCACCTTCCCTTTATTCTCCAAACACTCCATTCGGCTGCCAGAAGAAAAAAAAAAAAACCCAACAACAATCCAGTGTTACTGGATTTGGGGTAATGTGATTCACTCCTCTTCCTCCCATGTGACAGTGCTGGTGCCTGGTGATTGATACTCTTGGATGCACTCCTTACTGGGATTCCCATGCAAGGCGGGTGCTTGAAGTGACTGCGGATGGCGCCGCCAACGTGTAGATATTTGAAGAATGTCACCAGCACACAAGTTTCTTTACAGCAAAAGAAAAGTAATTTATTGACGTATGCCGTCTCTCTTTCAGGGGCGCGCAGGGTCCCTTCATCGGACACCATCATGACGATGATCTGGTGATTCGTCACTGGGACACTTTGCACTTTCACATGGGGGGCGTGGAGAGATTCCGCAGCCCTCTGTAAGCTCCAAGTTGTAGCACCATGTATAGAACATCTTTAGATTGCCATATGCCAAGGAAACAAACATATTTTATGACAAAATTGATGTCTCTGCGGTTTGAAGTGGAAAGCTAATATTTAATAACCGTAAAATAAAAAAATAGCTTGTAGCAGATTTTTAAATGGAAGATATAAATTTAGAAGCCACCAGTGCAGAAATAGTATTGTATTATGTGTCGTCCGATTACAATGATGACAGACACCGACTAGTGTGACTGTGAAAGAGCCCCGCCCCCTTACCTGAAGTCACAAGAGTGATGAGTGACTCCGAGCGGATTCTGCTGGTCCTGTGGGTCTTTGGGCTGAGACCGAGCTGTAGATCAATGGTTGAACTGGACATCTCTGGGCTTTTTTGTTTATCTACAGTTGTCGCAAAGCTAAATGGGATTTATTATATAATAACAAGTTACAGAACAACTTCCACAAGTAAAATCATCCATATCACAGCAACTGCTATCCAAATAAAGCTGAACAGACATTTAGACAAATTAAGAAGTGGAAAAAGTTACCTCTTGTGAGGCGTGTTAAATGTTTAAAGGAGAACTATGAGGTGAGTGCTTTTCACTCACCTCATAGTTCTAGCCGACCTGTGACAATGAGACTGTCACAGGTCGGCTCAGTAGATCGGGAGGTGAGCGAACAGATACAGGCGTTCACTCACCTCTCGATCCTGTCACGGCTCTCTGCCGTGACAGGGGAGGGGCTGGATTACCCCCTCCCCGATCCGATCTGCCAGCGCTGACTGGCGGAACGGACGGGGGAGGGGGCGGGTACAGCTGGCTCTGCCTCTAGATAGGCAAAGCCAGCTGTCAGTCACGCAGCTGGGTGGATCCCGGCACAATTATCGGGATCCGCTTCAGCTGCGGCCTCTCAGTATACCGCGAGCAGCAGCTCGCGGTATACTGCGGCGTCTCAGTATACCGCGAGCTATAGCTCGCGGTATACTGAGCCTAGGGTGACGGGAGGACGCTAGTTTGTGTCCTCCTGTTACCCTAAGGAGAACTATGGGGAAAAGACTTAACCCCATAGTTCTCCTTTAACGTAGAATTCTTTGATTTGTACCCGCTAGATACAGCGCTATGACTATGAGAGCTGTTCACAGAATACAAGGTGTTCTGTGAATGGACAAGGGGAGAGGAAAGGGAGGGTAAATGACAGGATCCCTTATCGGTTTAATAGCCACAGCTCTTGTAGCGTAGCGAGGTAGACCCACGTTGTTAAAGGGATTAAGCAGCAGTGTATCACGTGTCTTGGTAAGATCACTGTAGCCTATTCCCCAAGCTTTATAAAGCAGAGCAAAGGAGAACTGCTCACATGAAACAGTAGAGATGAATGGACATAGTAGGCCATAGAGGCGGCTTTAGTTTGTATGAAGAAACAGAGGATATGCAAAGTGGCTGCCGAGCCTAGATGTGCCTGCAGATCATTGCCACTGCTAAGCAAGAAGGACAACTCACTGCAAGAACAACAAGTATTTTGAAGGAAAGTCAAATAAGATTACAAAAATACAAAATTGTTTTAACATTTTAAGTCGGGATACTTCAATGTCTTTTTCTTTTTTAGGTTTACAACCCCTTTCGTTGAACTTGCTTTGCATTGCATAGCAGAGTACGGGTCTGCTTTACTCTTGACTTGAAGAATAGGTTAAGGTCCTACATACCCCTTGTCCTGGGATTCAGAGGGGCTCTAGAGGGACACAGGGATTCATCCGGAGAACAACACAGCTAGTTACAAACATCTTAAGGTGCCGTAACTTCAGAACTGTTACCACCGGGACTTTTAGGTCAGGTTCACTTTAAAGTGTATGCAAACCCCAACAATGAACTTCTCTTATTTGCTACCTTTTAGTCTAATAAATATACAATTGGAAGCGTTTTGTTACATCTGTTTGTGCAAAAATACCATGTCATAAAGCTAGAGCTGTTCTGTGATTTTTTTTTTTAATACCCTTCCTATGTTATCTCAAGGAGTCTAATTAGCTCTCCTAGTCTTGGGACTATAGAAAGATCAGTCTGTATGTTGTGGACAATAGGATAGTGGGAGGGGCTGAATAGTTTTGTAAAAGATAGCTGGGCAGCACAGACACCACTCAGCCAACAAAAATGCTGCATCCTACAACAGGACTTAGGAGCTGAGAGCATTTCTGGCAAATGAACTGGTATTTTTCTTTATCTGGGTCTAAGGTTAAGGGTCTTTAAATGGATAAGAGAGGGAGATGTGTCTGTATGGCAAACAATGTACTGCATGCATTTTTTTTTCTTTGCCTTGACATACATTTAACCTTTACACCATAAACCTTTTGTGACGGACTGAACTGTCACTGGGGCTGCTGGAGGAGCCTGAGGGCTAGCCTCCTTCCTAGAGACTATGGACCAATCCCTATTTGCCCTGTTTCGAGTTCTCATTTGCATGGCCAAGAGGACCTAGGTGAGGACTGGAGGATACTTTGCAGTTGACCAATAGGAAGGTGGTCGGTTGGGCCACCTTCAAACTGTTGTTTATAAAAGTGTGTGTGTGCATCCAATAAACGAGATTCCTGCTTGAACTTACATACAGCCTGCCTGGTGTTCTTTCTGAGCTATCACCACTGGATACGAACAGCACATAGCTGTAGTTCTAATCCCGAATTATCGGACGACTGAAATATCAGACATTGCGGTCTGAAATGAAGGAGTGCCGGGAGTGCCGGGAGAATGGAACCGAGCGAGCAGGGGCTCGTTACACCTTTATGTATGTTTTCTCTTTGTATTTTACCTGTATGGTTTCGTCCCCACGGAAGGTACCAGACTTCTTGATATGAACGGTTTGTCTGATTGAGAAACAGGGAAAATAAATAAGAGAATTAATCAAAGAAACAGACAATCCATTTGATTCAAGATGTCTTCAAAAGCAAGTCCTACCAGCAGGAAGAGGTGAAACAGATATTAAATCGATAAACATATGCAGAGTGATGATAGTATTCCATAGTACAGAAACCATCACCAACCACGTGTAAGTTTAATAAACTCAGATCAGCCAAAGAAGCCTTCTGATTGGTTGCTCGGAGTCTCTCTGCTGTACTGTCCAGGCATAAAATACTGCGGTTGGAATGGTACAAACCTCTTTTGAGGACATGATCGGCCACCTGGCTTTTGTGATTGTTAAAATCAAGCATGGCATGGAAAGGTGGCGGATGTTGTTTGATCGGCGAGGAATCCTTAGGGAATGGAGGGAAGTTACTTCTCTGAATAACCGTTATAATAAGAGGAAGGCGATTTCCAGTAACTGTTTCCCGTGTCTTTAGTGTGCTATGGCGAGGACACACATGATCAATCGTGGAGAAATCACCTGGTGGATAAGAATTCAGACAAACCAGTCAATTTTCAAATGTTATTACAGCATCCCTGGCCTTGTAAGATCCTACAACTACCTTGTACACATGGGCATCGGACTCACCAACAAAGGAGGTTGGGAGTCTGTTGATGAGCTGGGTCTTCAAAGAAACAGACTCAGCCTTCCGGGCATAAGACAGGGTGGGCTTTTCTACTGATGAGAGAAAAAAAAACAGTTTGTAGAATTTGGGGAGAAGTTAAAGTGACATTAAACCCTCAGATTTTTTAACATAAAACAATACTGTAATGTGCGCCTTACTGTAATCCATGGTAGTTTCCCTTCTCTTTGCTGCTCTTCCTTTTAAATCTGTATCTGTTCTCATGCTGGGCAGAACTTCTGTTTTGCAACAGACTGCCTTGTCTCTGGAATGGATACATGGTGTCTGTGTGTAGGTTTGTAAACTGAGCCAGCACTACAGGAAGAGGCCCTGAGCTGCAAAGGGAAGTTCTCCCCCAGCATGAGAACACATGAGGATTTAAAAGGAAGAGCAGCAAAGAGAAGGGAAACTACCATGGATTACAGTAAGGCGCACATTACAGTATTGGTTTGTTAAAAAATCTGAGGGTTTAATGTCACTTTAAGCTGTAGCTGTGCATATGGTATCCCTTCTTGTACCTGTAGGTGGTGCTGTGGCTGTCTGTACTATATCCGTCTGTGACAAGGAGCTTTCATGGGACTTCATCTGCAATAGACATATAATTATCTATTTATTACATTCATCATTAAAATTAACTCGTTTTTAAGCTGATTGATGAAAGAAAAAAAAAGAAGACCTTAAAAAGGAGAACTATGAGGTGAGTGAAAATCACTCATCCTCATAGTTCGAGCCGACGTGTGACAATTAAACTGTCACACGTCGCCTCAATAGATCGGGAAATGAGCGAACACACTCGCTCACTTCTCGATCATTTCCCTGCAGAGAGCCGTGACTGTCACTCTCGGCTCCCCTCAGGGATTTTCCCCTCCCCGCTCCGATCCTCCAGCGCTGACTGGCGGAATGGACGGGGGAGGAGGCGGGTACAGCTGGCTCTGCCTCTAGATAGGCAGAGCCAGCTGTCACTCACGCAGCTGGGTGGATCTCGACAGCATTGTCGGGATCCGTCCCGGGTGCTGCGGCGGTCTCAGTATATCGTGAGCTGTAGCTCGCGATATACTGAGCTTTGGGTCACAGGAGGACGTTAGTATATGTCCTCCCGTGACCCTTAAGAGAACTGTGGGGGAAAACACTGACCGCACAGTTCCCTTTTAAACTCTAACTTGAGCTTTCTGAATAGGGGAAAAATCTCTAATATTTTAAAGCTGTATGTGGACCTATCAGGAATTGAGAGAAATTATGCCCAATAGAAACAGAGCAGGAAAAAGAAAAAGACATGAACAGGAGATAACTTACCTTTTTTTTTCTTTTTTCAACATCCTCTCCTTTACTAGAGTTTTTTGGGACTGTGGATTTGGCCGTTTGGTTGGTTGATTCAGTAACATCCTAGGAGAAACAAAGGACAGTATTTTTTACAGGGCTCATTCACACTAGCTGCATGCTAGTGGGTTGGTGGGTGCTGACTTACCACCACACTGCTCTGTGGCTTTGGTTTGTGTTTGGAGCTGCGTTTCTGATACATATTGTTCCTCTCTTTACGAGACCGTAAACGTTTCTTTTTCTGAAAAAACTAGGGAAAAGGCAGAGTTGAACACAGTTTAGATGTCATTGCCTATTACGGCCTCATGGTCCATATTGGAGAGAATACCCAACATGCACTGAATAGTGGATGTACATATCAGCTGTAGAGGGCTGGTCAGCGGCTCAGTTCCGAAAGATGAGACCTCTACATGTGTGGCCATCACATCATTACATAGTAGCCCCTGGCAGTTACTGAAAAGTCAGGATAAACACTTGACTGAGCTCTTAAGGAAATACAACCTGTATAAAATCTGAAACAGCATGCTATAGGAAAGTTGAATACAAATATCTATGGTCTCACCTTTTCTGCCATGTTCAGCAAATGTGCAGGAAGTCCATCAGACTCGGAGCTATTTGATCCACTGGTGCTGCAAGAGGCAGTGACAAATTAGTGACATCATAGATTGCAGGCTTGTAGATAGCACGCCAACTGGTATGAGAGGTAGGGCTTAAAAGGAGAACTATGGGGTTAAGGCTTTTCCCCATAGTTCTCCTTAGGGTAACAGGAGGACACAAATTAGCGTCCTCCCGTCACCCTAGGCTCAGTATACCGCTAGCTGCAGCGTCTAGGGTGCTGCAGCTCGCGGTATACTGAGACGCCGCAGTATACCGTGAGCAGCTGCTCGCGGTATACCGAGACGCCGCAGCTGCAGCGGATCCCGACAATTGTGCCGGGATCCGCCCAGCTGCGTGACTGACAGCTGGCTCTGCCTATCTAGAGGCAGAGTCAGCTGTACCCGCCCCCTCCCCCATCCGTTCCGCCAGTCAGCGCTGGCGGATCGGAGCGGGCAGGGGGGAATCCAGCCCCTCCCCCTGCCACGGCAGAGAGCCGTGACAGGATCGAGAGGTGAGCGAACGCCGGTATGTGTTCGCTCACCTCCCGATCTACTGAGCCGACCTGTGACAGTCTCATTGGCTAGAACTATGAGGGGAGTGAAAAGCACTCACCTCATAGTTCTCCTTTTAATCTTGACTTAAATTGAAACCACCATTTCACTGCTGTCCAGCCACTGCAGCTTTAAAGTGACAGGATAATTTTAAAGCTGAACTTCGCTAAAAATATTTTTCAATGACTGCAACAGCCTTCTTCTGCCATCTATAGAGCTTGTCTTTTCTTGGATGTGGCCATATGGTGGCAGGGTCACTTTTGATCTGAGCCTTACTTAAAATATTTTTCAATTACTGCAACAACCTTCGTCTTGCAGTCTGCCTATGAGCGGCGTAGGGGGAAGCCGAGATCCCTCCTCGCAGCTGCTGGAAATGGCTGGGGTTTAGGGAAACCTGCAGTGATGTCATTGGGATTAAAAACTCATTTTTTATGCCCACAGAAGTGTTAAAAATTAAAGGGTGCAGCTTTACATAGAAAGAGAGAGATGGCGGTGAGAGATGGCGGTGAAAGAGAATAGATATTAAAGTTCAGCTTTATACAGAAGTTAAGGACCCAGGATCCAAGGAGCTCCACAAGTTCCCCTCACTTCAGCACTGTTGCTCCCCTAGTAATGTTTTAGACCAGGTCAGGTTCACTTTAATAGATGCATCAGATACTGCATAGAGAGAGCAAAAACCTTCCTAGTCATGAGAATTATCAACTAAAGCCTAGACTAAGTACAAAGAAATGACATCATATTAATTAGACAAGTAACACTTAGCATATAGAGGTGTAAAAAGTGTGAAATTCTCACATTACAACTATTACTGTTGTTTGCCTTGCTAATGAACGCAAAGTCCTAAGAAAGGCTGAGCTCTAGGATTCAAGAAAGATCTACCCTTACAGTGGGGTCCCCCGGCACTGCAAGGGTTAAATGCTCATTAACTCTAGGGGCAGAGGTAGAAGATGTAATACTTACCTTAGTCCACATTCCAGCATTCACTCTCTCCAACGCTCTGGGTTGTGGGCGGGCCATCACTGTCCTCACATACAATTATTATTATTATTATACAGGATTTATATAGCGCCAATAGTTTGCACAGTGCTTTACAATATAAGGAAGACATTACAGTCACAATACAATTTAAGACAAGATGGTAAGGAGGGCCCTGCCCGTGAGGGCTTACAATCTAAAAGGGAGGGGCAAGTGATACATGAGGAGGTAGCTGTGCGGGGGTGATTGTTTGAGAAAGTGATTGTTCAGTGGTTAGGTTGAGGTGGGATAGGCTTCCCTGAAGAGATGAGTCTTAAGGGATCGCCTAAAGGCAGTCAGTGTGGGAGATAGACGGACAGGTTGGGGTAGAGAGTTCCATAGAATGGGAGACACTCTAGTGAAGTCCTGGAGGCGAGCATGGGAGGAGTTGATGACGGAGCTGGAAAGCAGGAGGTCTTGTGAAGAGCGGAGGGGACGGTTAGGGTAATACTTTGAGACCAGGTTGGAGATATAGCCGGGGCCAGAGTTGTTGGATGGCTTTGTACGCGGTTGTTAATATTTTGAATTTTATCCTTTGGGCTATAGGAAGCCAGTGTAGGGATTGACAGAGGGGGGTTGCAGACACTGAGCGGTTGGTTAGGTGGATGAGTCTAGCAGCTGCAATGCAGGGCAATGCTGTGTTTGTCATGTTTTCCACACCAGCAGCTCTTCCGGTTGGGTTGACCAGTGATCCAGAGCTGCAGTCTGTGGCCGCCACTGACTAATCCCCTCATTCAGATGTCATTGTTCTGCTGCAGTCTTCTGGCGCCCTAGAGGATCCCAATGCGGTACAGCCAATAGGATGTGTCCATATCACCCAGGCAGCAATGTGGACACTCGAAAAAGGACCCTCCCACTGTTCAGTCCAAAAAATAGAAGACTGGGGACCCGTTATAGCTATGACTTGTATAGCCAAAACACCTTTGCATCTGATTGATATGATGTACTGGATTTTGGCTTTTAATTAATAAAGAGGAATTATGGATGGTATTTGGACTTCAGTATAGTTTTCAAACATAGAGAAGGTTCTGATTACTCGTGTGTCTCAGACAGAAACTTTGAGAATTCAACATACCTGCTGGCAGAACGTGGTTAAAAATGTGAGGGTTATCTTACACCCGTTTAGTCTTTATCCTCCAGTCATCTCCATGCACAGTTTTTATTTATCACTTAGAATGCTGGGGAATATTCAATGCACAAGATAACATTATATAGGCCAAAGTTTATGGACACCTGACCATCATCTCTATATGAGTTTGTTGGACATCCTATTCCAAAACAGTTGCCATTAATGTAGAGTTGGCTCCCTTTGTGGCTATGACAGTCATACTCTTCTGGGCAGGCTTCCACATGATTTTGCAGTATATCTGTTGAAATGTGAGCCCATTCAGCCAAAAGGCCATTTGTGAGGTCAGGTACTGATGTTGGAAGAGAAGACATGGATCGTAGGGTTGAGGTCAGGGCTCTGTGCAGGCCACTTCAGTTGCTCTACACCACACTGGTCAAACCAGGTCTTTATTAACTTGACTTGTGCACAGGGGTACCGTGATGCTGGAACAGAAAACAGAAAATTGTATACTTACCTATCGGTAATTTTCCTTTCCTGACGCCAATAAATGGCAGCATACAATGGGCTAGGGGCGGAGCCACACCCATTGTAGGCTGCCATGGATCGGCGTCAAGAAAACAGAAGTTGTATACTTACCTATCGGTAATTTTCCTTTCCTGACGCCAATACATGGCAGCATACAATGGGTATGGCTCCGCCCCCAGCCCATTGTATGCTGCCATGGATTGGCGTCAGGAAGAGGGCCTTCCCCAAACTTGCCACAATGTTGTAAGTGCATAGTTGTCTAAAATGTCTTTGCATGCTGTAGCAGTAATGGTACCCTTCATTTAAAACACCTGAACTTAATAATTTGGAGGGCTGCCCACATACTTTGGCCATATAGGTAGGTGCGATGGTCAGGTGTCTGCAAATTTTGATGATATAGTTTATCAGATGCAGCCTGTTGACTACTGCGGCTCACAAACCAACGGGTCCTATTATTACCTTGATTCAATGTCTGATAGGGAAATGTCACTGAAATTGACATCAGAATCAACATCTCTTCCGAGTTGTTTCAACTTCTCTTTTATTTCTTCCTGAACTATAGTCTGGAGCTCAGACAAACAAACCTTAAACTGAGAACAGATGGCAGTCAATAAACAGACATTCCTAAGCAACACAGCATACAATACTTATCAAAACCCTATTAAGCTGCTCACCTTGGTACTGTCAGGATCACAATAGTCCAGTAGAGTGTCACAGAAGTAATGTCCCATTGATTTGAGGTCTTTTGTTGTAAAATGAGTCCCTTTTCTGTCCCCTGTTTAAGATTGGAAAAAAATATATAAAGGCAAATTGAGGGTCGATTAAAGAGCATTAAAATGTTCCAGATTATGACCACTGTGCTATGTCACAACATAGTACTGACCACATTGGTAGGAGCCAGAGTAGTACAGACAACTGTTATAAGGAGAGAGGAGAGCTGACCACTATGCTAAGGGGCAGAGTAGTACTGGCCACAGTGGTAAGAGCCAGAGTACTATGGAGCACTGTCATAGGTAGGGAGGAGTATTAAGCATTGTGCTAAGGGGCAGAGTAGTACTGGCCACAGTGGTAAGAGCCAGAGTACTATGGAGCACTGTCATAGGTAGGGAGGAGTATTAAGCATTGTGCTAAGGGGCAGAGTAGTACTGGCCACAGTGGTAAGAGCCAGAGTACTATGGAGCACTGTCATAGGTAGGGAGGAGTATTAAGCATTGTGCTAAGGGGCAGAGTAGTACTGGCCACAGTGGTAAGAGCCAGAGTAGTATGGAGCACTGTCATAGGTAGGGAGGAGTATTAAGCATTGTGCTAAGGGGCAGAGTAGTACTGGCCATAGTGGTAAGAGCCAGAGTAGTATGGAGCACTGTCATAGGTAGGGAGGAGTATTAAGCATTGTGCTAAGGGGCAGAGTAGTACTGGCCATAGTGGTAAGAGCCAGAGTAGTATGGAGCACTGTCATAGGTAGGGAGGAGTATTAAGCATTGTGCTAAGGGGCAGAGTAGTACTGGCCATAGTGGTAAGAGCCAGAGTAGTATGGAGCACTGTCATAGGTAGGGAGGAGTATTAAGCATTGTGCTAAGGGGCAGAGTAGTACTGACCACAGTGGTAGGAGCCAGAGTAGTTTTGACGGCTGTCACAGCGGAGTAGTGCTGACTACTCTGAAAAGGCATAGAGTAATATAGACTACTGCGGTAGGGGGCAGAGGAGCTATGACCACTGTGGCAGGTGGCAAAGTAATACTGAACTTTTCGGTTGCAGCAAAGAAGTGCTAACCACTGTAGTGGGGCAGAGTAATGCTGAACTTTGTGGTGGGGGCAGAGGCTGACCTGACCTCTGTGGTAAGACAGATTAATACTACATTTTTGGGTTGGGGCAGAGTAACAATGAACTTTACAGTTTAGGCAAATCCGTGCTGACCTCTGTGGTGAGGTAGAGTAACACTTTACTTTGGGCGAGGGGGGGAGGGGCAGAGTAGTGATAACCTCTGTGGTGGGGCAGAATAATGCTGAACTCTGTGGTGGGGCAGAATAATGCTGAACTCTGTGGTGGGGCAGAATAATGCTGAACTCTGTGGTGGGGCAGAATAATGCTGAACTCTGTGGTGGGGCAGAATAATGCTGAACTCTGTGGTGGGGCAGAATAATGCTGAACTCTGTGGTGGGGCAGAATAGTGATAACCTTTGTGGTGGGGCAGAATAGTGATAACTTTTGTGGTGGGGCAGAATAGTGATAACCTTTGTGGTGGGGCAGAATAGTGATAACCTTTGTGGTGGGGTAGATTATTACTGAACCTTGTAGTTTGGGCAGAGTAGTGCTGCCCAGTGTGGTAGGTGACATACCAATGCTATTCTCTGTGACCAAGGAAAGGGTAGTACTGACCATTACAGTGAAGGAATGCTCACCTAGTGTAGATCCCCCAAAGGTAGACTCCATGGTGTAACTGTTTCTGATGCCGTGGCGCCACATTACTATTCGTCCTGTACCTTCTTTACTTTTCTGCACTTTAAACTTACAGCCTTTAAAAAAGAACTGTAGACAAGGTACACTGTCAATGTCATGTCTGTTTGGGGATAAATCAGTATTGCACTGCCCTAAAATCAGTCATGCCATATTCCCTATTGCAGCGATATAAGAACTAATGTAACCATATCTTCTCTGACAATCTGAATTACCTTATCAGGAGCATTCTTGCTGAGCATTAAAGGAAAGACCCTCTCGTGTAGCCTGGACTCGGGATGAGCCTTGTTGTTACAGCCATACATGAACACATTATTCTTACGACTGTGTCCATGGAAGTCACAATACAGAAGAACTTCTCGTTCCATTACAAGCCTGAAAAAGAAGAAGAGTATATGTCTTGCTGCTCTAAAATGCACTTCTCTACTCAGATACTTCTTTCCGGCTTAAAGGAATACCCTAAACCAGCGGTCGCCAACCTTTCGGACCTCATGGACTACTAAATTCATAATTTTAAAGCCATGCTCAGTCCCGGTACTGATGAGATGCCCCGCCTCCTGCAGAGCCCGCACTGTACGGGAGGCGGAAGACAAACCGCAGCAACAGCTATGATAAGGAACACGCCGCTTCTCAGATCACTGGCAGCCTGTACTGAGAGCTGCGCATTGCTTGTGACAGCCGCTGCTTGAGTCAGTGAGAGGCATCTCCGGAGCTTCGGTGCCGCTTCAATGATGGTCCAGCCTGCATGGCATCAGAGGGGGCCGGGGGGCAATTGCCTTCCTACCCCCCGGCTCAGTCCGCCCCTGGTCGAAACAATACTGAAGCGTACGGCTCGGCAATGGTTGCCGCATACAACTTAAGACTACCCTGACGTCACGCTGCGCCTCTCTTGTTTCCCCCTCTCTAGTACAGTTTGTGAATTTAGTGCAATATAAAAGGTGAAAATTGTCATTCAGAATATAAGAATTTCTTAGAGTATTATTTTTGTTTTATTAATAATAAAACATAAAAAATGCAAATAATGTCCATTTTCTCGAGGACCATCGGTTTGTCGACCGCTGCCCTAAACTGTTCATACCTGCTTCTTGCTGGGCTGACAATTCAGAGCATCTTCTTTGTTGTGTCTGCAAATTTTAGAGGTAGCTCACCTTTTTCTATCTGAATGAAGTCATGCGCCTGTCTGGCCGTCTCTAATGGCAGGTCCAAGTCATACAAAAACATATGAAATCCTGCATCCCTTGCTGCTCTTTCAACATAAATGGGCTGTGCTTTTCCCTTTGTCTACTAGATTTCACATAGCAAGTATATGATCAGTAGCCTCAAAAGGAGAAAACCATGGATGAAGGAGTTTACATAAGTCCCTACTGGCTTTCTGCAGCGAGTACCCTTCACTGGTCTTTTGGAGCAATTTGGAGGGATGCTCACCATATTGGCCATATAGTGTAGGTGGTATGGTCAGATATCCACAATCAGACATATAGTGTACCATCTATCTGATTAGGACCTCACCTTTTAATCATAGCCCTTGTGTGCCAAATACACGGGAAGGAGTCCTTCAGCATACTCCGATAGTTCCTGTTTAGATCCCTCCCAGACAGAGAGCAGCGGTAATTTCCAACAATTACCCCATCTGGATTCAGCATGGGAATCACTTTGAAAATAAACATATCCCTAAGCAGCTGAGCATCAGGAGAGTCACTAAGGATGAAATCCAAGAAGCCTTTCATCATCCATGAGCCATTGGTCTCCCCAGGATGTACCCTGGCGGTGACCACAACTGCTTTCTTACTAGTGGCCAACTCAGGATTCACTGATGGGGAAGTAATAGTCATCAAATAGACCGTGTTACCGGCCAGGCTCCTACACAAGGCCCGGAGTTTGCAGTACTGGGAGCGTTCCGGGTCACTCGTCCATCTTTGAATATCCTTATGCAGGTCGGAATATGTGTACGGATAACAGTGTGCAAAGTAACAGGTATCATTGTCATTGGGAAACTCAAAGGTCCAAGTCATGCAGTACAAAGAGCCGCCCTCCTGTGAGCGAGAGTTACGATAGTACTTTATATCTTTCCCTTCTCTCTTCCACCCGTCTCCTGTGAGGGCGGCATTGTGTTCTGAGTACATGAGAGGCTTCATGCCGGCATTGTACAGGCTGTTGCTCTTCATCAGGTTAGTGATAGTAAAGCGGTAAGGGACACCTTTCTTTGTGTTCTTCACCTGGAAGTAGAACCATTGGGTGTGCTTGCTGGTGTAGAGGTCAGTGCGTAGGGTCAGTTCATACTCATAGGTCCCTCTGGATAGATAAAAGAAGATATGAGCAGATCACAGATAACATGCTATGTATTCAAATCCAACACAAAACAAAACTGTGGCACACTTCGCAGGGCCTTGCTTAAGTTTTAGACCCTTGACCAATTCTCGAAATGTACAGGTTAACAAACTATTATTATTGCAAAACGCTGATCCTCAAAATCAGTTGTTTTAATGAGACAAAAAGAAAGAAATATGTTATTGTTACTATTGTTGAGAGACTTTTTGCAGCACATAAAATGGAACTTGAGCAAAAACAGTTTTCTTGTTGAATAGAGTGAGGTTAAGCTCCGCTAACTGTATTAGCTTTACTAGCCAGAAGAATATCTTTTGTGCCACTCTCTGACTTAGTTTCACTTTGTTACAGGGCCCAGATGTGTTTGATTTCAATGTTAAGCTTCTCCAATAGCCACCCCCCTGTCCAATAAGCATGCCTTTACTGGGGACTGGTAGCTGGCAGGGCCTAGACTTAAAGTGACATTAAAGTCAAATCCCCCCCATCCACAATGTTGCTTTAAGGACTTACCTTAAATGATGCATCTTGATCCATTCATCTTCTGCTTTCCTGTAGTTTCCAGCAGTCCCTCCAGTGCTGGTGCCGGTCTCTGATCCAGCGTTGACTGCTGTGTCTCACGGTGTCTGTGCGCATGCACACTCCCGGCTGCGTGCATTGACTTACACTGTGTCTCTCCTCTTCTCCCGGCCGAACCTCTTTACTGTGCATGCGCCCGCCCCATTCATCCTTCATGGCCGCGGGAGAATCTGCAGATCTTCGGAGGGGAGCGAGCGGCAGAGACACAGGTAAGCAATAACCTTTTTGATAACTTAATTTTTTTTTTTGCATATATCTTCTGCTTGCTAGCAACAGATTCTACTTTAAAGATAGAAAAAGCCACTACCCAAAGTTAACTTAAAACTAAACTTCAGTCTTGCCCAGTTGTACCGGCTCCTCTCCTGGACTGAAATTGCTTACTCTGATTTCACTGTACACTGTAAGTTACTCACAATGTGCCCCGAAAGCTGCAACCTTATTGACCTTGGCATGCCCCTTTTATTTACCGGATTTCAGTTCTTTCAATCATAAAGGCTCAGCCTTACATGCGGGTGTCACATAGAGCAAAGTCCCATCCCACTCCTGACCGGTAAGTCCCTTTGGAATAGGTGGGTGCAGCAGTGACAAACGGATGGTGCCGCTCAATATCGGAAAAGAAGGGGTCAATGGCACTCCAGTATGCTGATCAATATCTCTTTAGTGCTGCATGCTCAGTATCACATAACACGACATTTCGGGGCCACGCAGGGTGCCCTTCATCAGGAAAAACAGTGATGGCATCAGGCAAAACAGCATACTGGAGTGCCAGTGACTCCTTCTCTTCTGTTACATAGGACAGTCTGCAGGCAAATGCACACTGCATAAGAATGCCCACTTCCCTACACGGACATCCACTCATTAAGGCATACTGATATTTGGATAACTCCTCCTAAGAGCCAGCCCATTGCTTATATCAGGGCAAAGGGCTCTCGAGAAGAGTACTGTGGTAGGCTGCTGTTATGTTTTCAGGAAGCTTTATACACCACCAGCCATGATTTGCCTACATTGCATAGAGGAGCGCAGGTGACATCACTCGGTATATAAGTATATATACATACACAGGGCTTGAAAAATCCACTCGTCCGTGACGGTGGAGCCCGACGAGCAGCTTCCCGGCCGGCCGTTGTAATTACACGGCCGGCCGGGAGCTTTACAGGCGCTCGATTGCTTGTATCAGAAGCTGTCACTGCCGTTGCCGGTCCTGAGATCCGCTGTGCCCGATGCGGCACAATAAAGAAGCATAAAAAAAGAAAACATTTTTTTTAAATCCCCGCCCCCCACATACACACGCAGATATGCGTCGGGTGCGCCTACGTGCAAAAACGACGAGTGAGAGCAATAATTTTAGAGCCATTAATCACTGATAACACTAAACTGATGAGCAGCAAAAGCGTTATAATCGTCGCCTATGGGCGTTTTTTGTGATTTTGCGGGCGCACACAATTTAAGGCTTGACATGTTCGGTGTCTATTTACCCGACGTGACCCTGACTTTTATGTTTTACTAAAAATATGGGTAAGAATAAATGTTTTATAACAGAACGTAGGGAAACTTTTTTTTTATGGTACTTTTTTCATTATATAGTTAAAAAAAATAACCCCCGTGGGGTCACAAAAGAAAGCTCTATCTGTCACCAAAAATGTTTAACATAAATTGCAAGGCTATAGTCCGGTCATGCTGACTGGTGACATTTTTGACTGACTGGTGAGACACCGTCAAATTTTTCAAGCCCTGTACATACATATATAAGTATAATGAGGTATGCAATTAAAACAGAAAGCTTCTATTTAAAAATATCATTAGCATGTTGATAGGAGGGGGGAGGAACCAGGGAAGGCAAAATATAAGCATAAAAAACTTCAGCTTTAAATCAGTGAGGGGCATATAAGAGGACCCGAAGCTAATAAAAGTATTATCAAGCATCAGACGTGTTGTCTGCTCATAGGCAGCTATTTCACTATTAAATTGGAGTACAGGTTCACTTACTAAAAAAAATTCTGCAGGGCACTATGAGAAATCAGCAGATGTATAAATGTATGTAAATGCTGAATTCTAACCCCATGCCTCTGAGTAGTGGGCAGTAGAGGAAAGTTTCCCGATTCCCAGGAAATTTGTGTCTGTGATTGTGTTTGCAGGACTGGATTAGGTCACTCACACTTTGACAGCTTTGTGGAGATTACCGCTTTCAAATCGAGATTCAAACTGCAAATTGTTGTTATTTTTCCCATCGACGTTTGTGGAAGGTGTATGATTGACACAGCGACGTCCGCCAGTTCGGGAACCGGTGAAGTAAGACCCTTTGTAAGCTGCAGGAGGAGTCATGAAGGAGATCGTTTTAGATAAATGAGTAAAAGATTCGTGTATACAAATAATCTGATTGATGTGTGATGCTTATACTTTGTTTTCTAAAGTCTAGTTTGTCATCTCTTATATATAGTTGAAGGAGATCATCTTTGCTTATTACAGTGTAGTCTCTGATTCCCAATTTGTAATGTTGCACTGGGATTGCGCTTTCCTAGATAGTCAAAAACCGCCTTTGGGACTGCAGTGCAACCAATTCAAAGCTAAATGCGTTGGTAGATATGGTTGCAGCCCCAAAGGCAGTTTTGATATTTGGGAAGTTCCGCAAGAACCCGGGTACTGTTCATCAAGCTTTTCTTCTTTGTAATCATATAATTTCAAATGTTAACTTCAGGTAGCTAGTCATGTAAGCTCTCACAGACAGGGCCCTCCTTACTATCCTGTATTGTAACTGGAATGCCTTCCTTATATTGTAAAGAGCTGAGCAAACTGTTGGCGCTATATAAATCCTGTATAATAATAATTAGGGATGCACCGATACCAGATTTTCGGTATTGAGTACGAGTACCGATATTTTGCTGTCAGTACTCGCCGATACAGAGTACCGATACCGGTGCTTCTGCTGGCACGGAGGGTGAAGGCATGCCGCCCGGCATCCTGATTTCCCGATAAGCTCACACCATGTTTGGCCGGCTCGATGATCATTGGCTGGGAAACCGGTTGCCCAGCCAATCAGCATCAAGCCTGCCTAACAGCCGGGGTCGATGCTGATTGGCTGGGGAGCCAGCTTCCCAGCCAATCAGCATCGAGCCGGCTTCCCAGGCAATCAGGAAGTCGGGTGGCTCCATGCCGATTGGCTGGAAAGCGGTCTTCCCAGCCAATCAGCATGGAGACGGCTTCCTCTGACCGGAAGTTCCGGGAACGCGAAGGTATCGGAGCATTTGGGCCAGTACAAGTACTCACCCAAATACTTGGTATCGGCACCGATACCAATACCATTAACAATACTAGTACCGATTTGTGTAAAAAACAAAAAAATCAGATTTAAAAATGCCAGAAATCAGTAAAATGTTCTGTGCTGGCAGGCTGGAGTAAAAGTATTTTATCTTCTCTACTTACTGGAGAGCTCTTGAACAAACTGTACGACTTTGTAAACCTTTTTTTTTTGATGCTCATGGAATGTACTTAGCTGATTTAAAATGGAAGTTCAACAGGCTTTAAATATGACGTTATTACCTGGTCTGATTTCATACACCACTTTGCCATCTCCTTCCGCAGAACCTGCTGGCATCGCTTCCCTTCCAGTATGCCTGTAGAAGAGCTCTGGATGGGGTGGATCCCATTCTATATGAGGACACAGGACAAAGAGAATATTAAGAATGCTTTCCAGTAGTATACTTTATGGTGATCGTACCAGAAACAAACCAATTAAAATAATCCAGATACAACTTTATTCCGCTAGGGTCAGGGAATAATCGTGTAGCATAGCCACTGTACAGGACGCCAGGAAGGAGTCCTGGATGGACGGTATATCCCTCCCTTGTTTAGGTGGTGGTCACGTTAAGGTCACCTTGTTTTCAGGGTTCTCGCCAAGCAGGGTGAGGGGTTTCGGGTTGGACTTGTAAGGGAAACTGCTAGGCAGTCTTCCCAGAATTGTTAATTACATGGGCCCCGGAATGCGGAGGCTCAGAGAGATTTTGGGTGGGACAGAGCCTCCATCCCTGACTACAGCCAGTTCTGGTAATGAAAGGGTTAACCCACCAGCCAGGAGGGTGTGTCAAAAAGGAACAGGAAGCCAGTCAGTGGCGTCCTGAGGCCGGGTGTCACCCAGAGTGGTTACCGGGTGACACCCCACAGTGACATCAGCATGCATGCACATGACGTCACCGCACATGCGTGGCAATCTTATGGATACCTGCCGGCCGCCATCTTGGTAATGGACACCTGCAGAGAGAGGGGAGGGAACAGACACCCAGCGGGATAAGGTATGCTGCCGGGCCCCCTCCTCTCTCCCGAAACCGGCCGAGTGCCCAACTTTTCAGGGGGGGGTGACACCAAAGTAACTGTCAGTCATTTTGGTGTCACCCAGGTGTGGGCCGCACACCCCCACACCCCTTGTGACGCCACTGTCTGTGAGGAGTGTTTGGAGCAGAACACATGGCTGTGTGTGTGTTCAGCTGTGGAATACCGTCTACTGATACACTGCTGGGGCACCTGTGTCCATACTGGAACCCTCTGTGAGCAGGCTGGGACTCTAACCCTGAGGTGGGACTTGGTATACAGGCGCTGAGCCGAATCTTGTGTTTGCTGAATATAAGCCATTTTTATTTGATTGTTTGAAGAAAAGAATAAAGTTTTTATCCGCTGATACGGCTGGCTACGGGTCATATCCGCCCTGAATATTACACCACATACATGATTTCTCTCACTAGGCCTTGATGAAGGGGGTCTTTTTGGACCCCCAAAATGTGTTGGTTATTCTACGCGATTGTTCCCTGACCCTGTGGAAAAAAAGTTGTATCTGGATTATTTTAATTGGTGTGGTGCTTCAGTTCCTACATCTACCGTGTTCACTGTCAAGCCAAGAATACTGTGGAGACCTTTAGGCTAGTGACAGCTGCCTATCCATTAGTGCAGGGGTAGCCAAACTGAGGCCCTCCAGCTGTGGTGAAACTACAAGTCCCATGATGCATCTCTCTCCAGGAGTCATGTCTGTGGCTGTGAGAATCTTGCAATGCCTCATGGGATTTGTAGTTCCACCACAGCTGGAGGGCCGGAGTTTGGCTACCCCTGCATTAGACAAATTACACATATTCACATCACTTTGCTACTATTAGATGATAAAAACAGAATAATCACACAGGTCCAGTGCACTCTTTCCACTTCCAAATATTCCATTCATCATCCCATTAAAACAGGACTCCAGCATGTTTTTAGTCAACATGGAGTTCCACTTTAAGTGACAATAAAAATGTAAACTAGATTGCGCTACTATGTTCTACCAGCTTTATATGCAATCTTCCTATTGCTGCACAGCCCACCAATCAGGAGCTGACATGGTCACTGCCCCACCTCCTGCTTGCTGCTTGAACTTTGGACCATCACCATATTCGTGACACCCACCCCGAGTACCTCCCCTTTCCACAGATACTACCACTTTAATCCTGATTCCAACCTTTAGCCGACATGTCTGCCACTTTTAATCCTACATAAAAGACAGAACAAGGAAAAAACTAATCAACTATTTTATAAAAATGTTCTTTATTGATCATTACCAATGTGAGTGATCTCTCCAGGAACGACTTCACATTCTGCAGGCCAGCGCGGAGATTGCAGGAGGCCATTTTCCCTGAAGGTAGAGAATAATCCTCGGGGTTCCCTGAGGCGTGGGATTATTTGCCCTTCCTGATTATCAAAGACAATCTGTCTGCTCTTAAACACGGTGCTCTCCAACAACAGCGTGTCTGGAAGAGAAAGAGAAAAAGCACTCAGACCGGTTCTGTGGCCAGATACAGTCTTCAGCAAACAATATCTGAAAGAAAAGGAATATGTACTGAAAGAATAGGGAGGCTGTCAGTGCTGACCCATCTTCCTGGAAATGTTAGTTGTCTGGCTGATCCAAAAACGTTCTGGAGGAAGCCTGCAGATCAGGACAGGGCAGTACAAGTTATATATATAGTGGACTTGGGGGCCCTGAATGGAGATACTCCTACATAGGGACCTGCTAGGCTTTATTTAGCTATCTGCTCCCTGTTTAGACCTGCGATCACAGTGACTGGCAGGGGGAAGACTTCCAGCACTGACTTTCCTTGCAGCTCTGAGATGCTATGCTACCAAATGTAGAGAGCTGTAAAGGAAGCCAGTAGCGCAAGAATAAAAAACTATGAAATGTGTTGTCCTTATGTGATTGAGGAAGCTGAATGATAAGGAATATAGGCTCATGCACTGCATAGTTTATACGAATCCGCAGGGAGCAATATTGTATCCTATGGGCTACATGACCCATAGGACTGACCATGCACACTGGTCAGTTTTGTTCCACAGCTTTAAAGGCCAAGCTTACCCTTTTTACCTTTTTTCATGTTACACGTATACTCTGGGTGTACCAGGAAACATGGTCATGTGACCACCTCCAGAAAATGGCTCCGCCCACACAGCCGCATCGTCCATTCACAGATCCTTTTGTGAATGGAGAGACTATGATCGTGTTTGCAATGCTTTACTCGCTCCAATGCAAATGATATGAAATGCACATTTCTTCTTTTATGAACATGTGTGCATTTATTTTCATTTTTTATAAGGTGGAAGTTACCTTTAAGCTGCATAAACCAAAACTAGAAAAATCTGCATCCAGGGTAGAGAGTTTGGCCTTATTTGTACAATGTACCAATGTAAATGTTAGTGCTAAAGATTGCATGCTTACAGCATAATGGACTCTCTGCTCAGGGCTGACATGTAAACATAGTGTGTAATGAGTGGGCGCTGCGCCACTAATTACAATCTATTTACATGTCATTCATGTGGCGATGTGCATGCGCAGAATGGCCTGAACTAGCGGTTCATTATGCACATTCAGGGCCAACATGCAAACAGTGTGCAATCAGCAGCAGTCCCCCCTGATTACATACCATTGTTTACATGTCAGCCTGCCGCCTTTGCTTCAACAAGTCATTCACTTGTCATGGGAGAAGTGGCCATACAAGCTGCCTGTACACATTTCAGCATTGTGGACTCTATGTTGGTGTTGTTCAGATGCAGTACGGACAACTTTTTGAGCAGAAGTTGAAGCCAGCGTGATCCTGCATAAAATGTTATACAGCCGTGAGCCCGAGGCCTATTTGTGATGACGCCATGCTATTTGCTATTTTATTTACGCAAGTCCATACTATCTTCACAGAGCTACAGTCACCATGTTCAATACCTTATCTTTTACAATGCAATCCTAACAATCCCCTTTCTAGCATATGCTGTATATATGTCAAAAGATGTATTACAATAGCCAAGGTTCTTTAAGACAGCACTCATCTTTCATCATGGCCATCAATCACTGAGATACCATGGCACTCTTTGTGTGTTGCCCTTTCTTTAGCCCACAGGAAACTGTTCCTGGCATGGAAAGTGTTTGTTTTGTTGGCCTCCCGGGCCAATATTCTCAGCCCTCCCCTGAAAGGCAGACAGATATTGTAAAATGAGTTATTGCTCCCTCTTGCACAAATCTCTATGTTTAATATAATGACAAAAATATGGAAGAATGTAAAAGCGTGAAAGTCACATCAAGAAAAAGTTTAAGGTAAATAGTATAATATATGTTCTCACTGAAAATATACTCTACCCTCTCTATAACATCTTATACACAACATTATATCCTTCTCTAGTGTACACATTGGATTTTAGCTGGACTGGAAGGCTTACAAATCAGTTTCTTCTGGTCATGGGAGAATCTGTCTGAATCGCTGTCTGTAGGGGTTTGTTCCTTCCTTCTGTTTCTCCGGGCTGGACGCAGTAACATTTCTTCTTCTTTAGTTTTATTTTCTGTAGTAAGCATAGTTATAAATTAAATATATTGGTGCTGTATATTTAAAAAGTTTAAAAAGTGACAGTGTGTTTGTAAATAATTGAGGACATAGTATGGTTACTGTGTCCCCAATTATGAATGAATGGGAAGTGATCTACATCACTTCCTGTTCATTCATGATTGTAGATATAGTAAACATACTCTGTTCTCATGTTATGAATGGACAGGAACACTCAACATAGAGGATTCCTGTACATTGATAACAGGCGCTGCAGAAAAAGAGATTGAGGATTCTGTGTCCACAATCTCTTTTTCTATTTTAAAAGGGAAATAAAGAATTTGAAAAGGTTAGAAAAAAATTGGGGGGGTTTCAGTTTCGGCCTGACATTTTTTTTAATTTTCGGTTTAAAATAAATTCATTTCGGTGCACCTCTAATGCATAGTTTAGTTACTCAATTAGCATCCGCTGTTATTGGGACAGAAAACAGTTGAAAATCCAGCATTTTGCAGTTGTCACAAAAAATGGGATGAGAGGAAATCTTCCAAAGGGGACAGCATTTCCAGTGAGAACTGTCTAATAGGGGATTTCCTATAACTTTGTCGTTATTTCCTCTCCTCCCCTGTTAACTCAACAAAACAGGAAGTGAATGTAATCTCCCCAACAGGCCACATAGATTCTAGTCCTTACTTTATCAAAAGCTATGAAAAATGTTTTGGCTTTAGATATACTTTTAATTTAACCCCTTCGTGACTGACGACGTACAGTGTACGTCGCCAGCATCGGGGCTGTTTAAACATTGTCTTATTTCAATGGTGGATAATAATAAAAACAAAAAGTTATTATATATCCCTGACAGGAACTTCATAATGCAGCAGATGTGTACCTACCTTTATAATAGCCATAATATTTCAGGTGACGTTGCATGAAGCTGTCATATGGATCTGTCAGGAGCTGCAGAAAAATATCAGTTGCAATTATAATAAATATA